CATTTCTCATTTACCCTTCCTTCAGCCACTGGCAACGATGTGCCTACACTTTATTTCTATCGATTTGTTTATTCTGGACATGTCAGATAAATAGAATTATACAATGTGTGGGCCTTTGTGACTGGCTTTTTTTCACTTAAAATAATGTTCTCAAGGCTCATTTATCCATGCTGTAGTATGTTATCAGTATTTCATCTCTTTTTATGTTTGAAAATATTCCACTGTATGGATATAGCACGTTATCCACTCATCAGTTGAGAGATTTGGACTGTTGCTACTTTTTGGCTATTACCAATAACGCTGCTATGAACATTTGTATACAATCCTTTGTATGACATGTATTTTCATCTCTCTCAGCAATATACCTAGGAAAATGGAATTGCTGGGTCATATGGTAACTTAATATATAACAGTTTGAAGAACTGCCAAAATCTTCTCCAGTGGTTACACAATTTTACATTTTCACCAGCAATTTATGAGGGCTCCGATTTTTCTGTATCTTCGTCAGTACTTGTTATCGTATATTTTTTTATTTTAGCCATCCTAGGGAAGTGTGAAGTTATATCTCATAGTGGTTTTGATTTGCATCTCCCTGATGACTCATGACATTGAAATTTTTTCTTGTATCTATTAGTCACTTGCCTATCTTTGGAGGAATGCCTATTCAGATCCTTTGTTCATTTTTTTTTAAACTGGGTCATGTGTCTTTTTATTATTAAAGTGAGATGGGAGGCCACTGGGGCAGAGGAGTGACATCTGCTTTACATTTTACAGGCTCACTCTGACTGCACTGTTGAGACTAGTCTGAAGAAATCAGAGAAAAGCAGGGGACCGAGCAGTTGGGAGACTAGCGCAATAAGCCAAGCAAGATATGATAGTGTCCTTGAACCACAGTGCTAGCAGTGATGGTATAAGAAATGCTTTGATTCTGGATACATTCTGAAGTTAGAAGTGACAAGACTTCCTGATGGATTGCATGTGGGATGTGCAATAATACCCTCTGAAACACTTCCAAGTCTTTTGTTCTGAGACACTGGAAACAGGATGTCAGTAGTTTGATTTTGGACATGCTGAGTTTGAGATGCCTGCTAGGCATCCGAGTGGAGAGATTATGTTGGCAGTTGGTTATACAACTCTGGGGTTTAGAGAAGTCTGGGCTGGATACTAAAAAATATGTGCCAGTTTCCTACAAATGTATTTAAAACCATAAGACAGCATGAGCTCACCAATTCAATGATTATAGATACAGAAGATAGATTTTTGTTGAATAAATGAAGTTTACTCCTTAATGTATTATATATATATTATAATGTATATATATGTATATAATGTATATATGTATATATAATGTATATTATAATGTATTATAATGTATATATATAATGTATTATATATATATGTATAGATGAAACTTCAAATTAAATTTGTACAAAGTGTGTTAATCCTGTTGCTTCCCATGCCACTAATTAGGCCTCAAAAATATGTTTTATGCAACACCCTGCCTGCATCTCTCATTCATGTGTCTTAGGGTCCCACCTTCAAACAGCCTGTGTATTTGCCCCAGAACCTTCAACCTTCCTTCCAGAAGACTGCTTCTCTTCAACCACATTAAGTACAGGCTCAACACCAGCCACGTGCACATTAAGATTATCCAAACCAAAATACTGGGGAAATCAATCTGCTAAAATTAAACATTTTAATTTAATAATGTACATAAAAGTCTTTGTTAAAGTAAAAATAACAAGCTTTATTTAAAAAGTAATCATCCTCATCATACATATATAATGCCATCTAAGGCAGTCCTGGAGATGTTTCACTGGATGAACTATTATGCACTAGAAGTTTTGCAAATAAGGTATTTCATGAGGTGGAATGGGGGAAAAAATTAAAACACACAAGTTACATCCATTTACAGAAATAATGGTTTCCAGTTGTGAACTAATTACTATGCTTGGAAAATGCTAGTATCTGTATAAAAATATGGTTCAATTATGGTGCAAAATCTGAATTTTTTGCAAACTTGGAAAAGGGCATATTTTTGTGACATCTCCTAAGCACTTCCCTGAGAGCATACGGAATGTTATTAACTTACTGAAACATTTCAGCCTCTAGAGGAGTCTTCATCAAGAGAATACCTCAGAGGTAAAGAATTCTTGAGGACCGTGAGTCCACAAGTGGAGGAAAAGGAACAACCATGAGAAGTACGACCAGCTGAGAACCCCCCCGGAGGAAGGGATGAGGGATGAGAGGTTTGCCCCTGACCCAAATATTATCCTCTATCAACTGCTGGAATGCTTTTTCCACTGTAGTTGGAAACACAGCCATGTTCTGTGAATGAGCCATCGGGTCCCAAGGCATTCCCTGGAAAGCTGCAGCTGCTGCGTGGCATGGGCACTGCACGATGCAGGCACTGGGAAGGGTTTCAGATGAGGTGGAGAGGAGCACAAGTCATCCTTTCTTTTGGGAAGGACTTTGACCAGACTGCTTTCTTCTCTACACCACACCATATCAGCTATACTAAGAACACAGCTTGGGTAGGAGTAGAGAGGTGGGTGATCTGGGAAAATGAGGAAACCCAGGAGGTGGGGCAGACCAGGAGGAAGGCCAGGTCAGAGGAGAAGGCCAGCAAAACTCGGGGGAATGTACTTGGACTCCAAGGGCATGAGGGGATAGAAAGTGCTGCAAAAACTGAAGAAAGACCTTTGTTCTTAGGAAAAGAGGTGGAAATTTTTGCTTTCCTTTCTTCACCCTGTCCACACTACCCTGTTTCCAAGACCTGAAACTCAGGCAGATACTTTGGGCACTGTAAGTCAACTACATCAAGGGTTAGCCTACCCCAGAAGGTTTAGCCGGGGCACTCCATCACCAATCTCCCACTCTCTGTGAGAAAGTGTTTCAGAGTCTGCCTGTAAGTCAGTCAGTTGTTTGCAACCTGATAGAGAACCCCCTCGTATGATTACTTACTTGTCAGCAATTCTTTATGTGTAGTCTCAGTTTTATAATGTAAGCAATGTGCTTTGAATCTCCAAAAGAGTTTCTATGGTGTACAGAAGAAAAAAAAATGAACCCTTTATAAGGAAAAAAAAATGCCCAACATTTGTGTCATCAAAAGGAAACTTCTATATTGTACATTCATACACAACAATACTTCCTATTGACATTTATTACTTAAATGACACTTAAGCACTAAAAATAAATGTTTGTTTTCAGACACAAGAGCAAATCCAACAATCTGTCACTTCAATAAACCATTCCATTATTAGGGAATAGCTACAAATATTCTCTATGTGTACTTTATATCATTCTGGAAATAGAATCAAGAAGCAATGCTTTATTTAAGGCTACATAATAAGGCTACCTTGGTTATCCGAAATATGAAATATGTATAGGCAACAAAGATATGTTTGCCAAAGGGAGTATAAATTAAACACTATTTCCATTTTAGGAAAAGAAATGCTATTACAATCTAACTATACATTCAAATGGTATCTTAAAATGTATTGCTATTCCTATATTGCTCAAACTGCCCATTTCAGGACACCAATAGATTCTGACTTTTTATCTTTTAAGCAAGGCTACATCAGAATAAAGACTTTTGAAATTAAACTTTCTTTTGTGTTAAAAGAGAAATTTATTACAATAAAATAAGTGCCAAGTGTTATTAAAAATGCTGGTTAAAATTATAAAGTGTCTACATAATTTTTTAGTATAAATATCGGAAATAACATCAACAATACTGTATGTACAAAGAACTTTGAAAACATAAAATCATGCACAAAGCCACAATATAACTGCACGTTATCCTTTTCGGTTTCACTTTTATCTTCTCCTGGTCCTAGATCATTCCATAATACGAAAAGATATGCTAATTCCTCACAGATTCCAAACTCCAAAATTTCAGTGTTTTAAATGTATGTCAGTTGTCACACATTAACAATTCTTTGAAATTATTGTATTCTCACCAAGTTGTTCTAGTTCCCATATTTCTCTTCCTTTATAGATCTTGGACAAAAGTTGAGCTAGAAAAACTAGTTACAGGATCCAGCGTGACACATATTCTCAATGATTCACTTAAAAGTAGCAGAGGGGTTTATACACGTATATAAAAAGATCTACAAGGCAGGAAAGACAGTAAGTATATCAACATGTGAGTAAAATTCAGCAGCTCACCCTCTGTTTGCTTACTTGGCTCCATGTCCCCATAGGAAGGAAAAGCCAGAGCTGTGAGGAAGTAAGGACAAATCAGAACTGCTGGGAGTGTGTGTGTTTGAGGGAGACAGAAGGGGAGAGCAGTACAGAGGAGCTGCAGAGAAGTATGTGATTATGAAGGGAAATTAAAAAGTATTGCCTATCTGCTCTTGCGCACCCTGCAAAAGCAGGGACTGGTCCCAGCCTGGCCTCCTTCGGTGCAGCCCAGTTACTCTGTGACTCTGGGGTTACGCTGTTCCTCCAGCTCTGTGAAAATAGCTATTGCCTTTCAGACAGTGTGATGACATGGCTGTTCCCTCCTGAGAACAGTTCCACAAATGTAAGGAACAATATAGGTTCGGATATTTCACAAATACCAAAGAGACTCTGAAATAAGCCTCAACACGAAGGCAGGTGAAACAATCTTTACAAATGAGCAGCTAATGCCCAGAGAGGCTAAGTGGTTCTGCCAAAGGGAAGACAAGGACACTAGAAGTGATTCTTACTCCTCTATGACAGCACTTGTCAAACTTTAATGTGCATGTAATTCACTTGGGAGCTCATCTAAAACGCGCTGGATCCGGGGTGGGGTCTCTGATTCTGTACGTACTGGCTCCTAGGAGATGCCAGTGCTCTGTGGACCACACTTTGAGAGCAAGGGTCTACAGCACAAAGAGGGAGCCACCCTGTCCCTCTGGGCCACAAGTACATCCTGGAAGTCCTGAGCAGAATGGAGACTTGCTCCGGTGCTGTCTGCCCACCCACGCTCATCCCCAGGCAAAAGGTGTAAATGCATTGCACAAGTGAACGGCTGTGTACAAGACTGTGTTTATATATCTTCTAAGAGCACCATGACTAGATGCACAGCCAAACAAATAACAGAATTCAACTTGAGTAAATGGAGAGGTCTATTAGCTGGAAACAAAACTAAGCTTTCTCTCATGTAGTCCTTCTTACAGTGAACATGATATAAAGGTATAAAAAAATAGCATATGAAATTTCATAGTAAAAGCCCACATGTGCACACAAATACATATAGTATGACTTCTAAGAAATAAAATGCAACTTATCAGAATAAAGTGCTACCACTGTTCCCAGCTAAAATCATCTCCTCTTCCAAATACAAGGAAAAAACCTTGAATTGTCAGGAAAATGACCGCATTGCCTGCCAGCACAAGGCCACAGGCTCCCCATTTGATCTGAAACACAAGGAAAGAGGATTAAATCTTTACTTCATATTATACCCTTTGAAAATCTCTGTTATTTTCTGCATTAGAATCATCCAATGAAATATTACATAAAATTGCTAAAAGGCTTAATAACGTAGCAGGCAGGAGACAGTGAACTATTCAGTAATTAGCCTAATTACTTTGTGATGCTTGATAATTAAGTCTGTACCATCCTTATCATTTTCCCCATTAGACATATTTCTCAATATGTTTTCAGTAGACAATGATTGCCTTAAGTAAAATGAAAGCACCCAGAATATAAAGGGTCCAATTATAATATGGGGTACTAAAAGATGTATACCCATTGCCTCCTTTCAGGAAAACAGGAGTTGCAGAGGATTATGGATTGGTTTGTTTCTTTTCTAGGCAAGAAGAGACTTTAAATAATAATCTGCATACAAATGAAAAGAGCTTTCCAGCTTGGCAGATAGTTCTATAGAGGCACAGCTGGGGATGAGAGTACCCTCTAGTGGGCATTTTGTTTTAATTTAAGCAATAAAAAGAAAACATCAATGAAAGTTTCTTCATAAAACAGAAATCCTTACAGCCAAACTTAAGAAGTACTGGTCTATGGCACAAGGAGATAAGGTCACGACGATTTTGCATTCAAAAAGCTTCAAACCTTCCTATCTAGATAGAGTTCAAACTGGCATGGCGTTCAAGAGCCTGCCCAGCTGGGCTTCCCCAACCTTTCTAGCCTCCTTCTCAATCACGTCCTTTCTGGCTCCACCATATTGAACTGTTCTTTATTCCACATATTGCATTTTCACACTCGGGCGCCATTCCATTGAACAGCCTTCCCTACTTTAATCAAAACCTTATTTATCCTTAGAGGCCTACATCAAATGCCAGTTGGAATTACTCTCCCCGGTGCTCCTATAGTGGTACGATCATGTTTCAATTATCACACATAATACATCTATAGCATACTTACCCATCAGGCTAGTTTCTGTGCCTCTGGGACAGAAACAATGTCTGGCTCTTATTCCTGGTATCTTACAAATAGCAGATGTCCCAAAGATCCAATGCCCCAAATAAGGGTTTCATGAAATTGAAACAGTATGTAGTTAGAGAGAATAAAAGCAAGTGGTATGGAAGACGGTAAACATTAAAGAAGAAAGAAGTGAATAAATTATACCCACAATGTGTGTTTTGGAGACAAAAAGAAAAAAAAATGTACTGGATATGAAGATGGCATCTTATCGCTGTCATCTTCTCGTAGCCATGTCATCAAAATGTGCCTACCATGTTAGGTTGAAAATTGTGTCCATGATCTTATGTACAGGAGAAGAATTTGATGTGATGTTCATTTTGGAACCAGAAAAGCATTGCTATTATAGTCTCTGTGGATCGCCCTACGAGGCAAGGATTTAATAAGCACAATTCCAGAAAATAGTTTAATGTTGAAAAAGCAAGAAATCACATGGTCCGGCTAAAAGCTATAAGAGAGACAAAGAATACATTCCGAAAACATAGCCAAGACACTGATAGGGAGATCTGTAATAGAAAAGAGAGACTACAAACACATCTGGATTTGAGAATTAAGCCTAAGCAATGGCAGTGAAATTGATGTTCTGGACACGGGCCTTTCAAGTAAAGTCAGCAACAACTGGGCAAAACAAGAGAAAACAAAACTTACCACAGACACACGGGCAAGAATAACAGGAAATCCAAAGGCAGAAACAACAATTCCAGTAGTGAAAAAATATGCCAGCTCCCGACAGGCACTACTTGTGGCATCAGAGTCATACGTTGCTCTTTTGGCAATGAAATGGGGGATGGGAGAGATGGCGTGAAATATCAGGACAAACAAGGGCCAGTAAACGCTGTCGGGAGGACCCAGAAGAAACCCAAAAAGAAAGTTACGGTTACATTTTAAAGACATGCTGCCATTTCAAAGTTAGAATTATCTTCAATGTCTAGGTCAAACAATTATTAATTTAATGGTCAATACTTGTACATAAGATGATTTATACCAGGAACAGGAAAGACGCAATGATTAACAATGACTAGTCCAGGGGTGCCTGGGTGGCTCAGTTGGTTAAGCATCCAGCTCTCAGTTTCGGCTCGGGTATGGTCTCACAGTTTCGTGGGTTCAATCCCCACATCAGGCTCTGTGCTGATATGTAGCAGGGAGCCTGCTTGGAATTCTCTGTCTCTGTCTCTCTCTCTCTTTCCTCTCTCTCCCCCTGCTCCTCCCCAACTCATTCTGTGTCTATCTCTCTCAAATAAATCAACTTACAAAAAGAAAATTACTAGTCCATTAACTGTCGATACATTACCCTGTGTTAAAAAAAATGACACAATGCACAATCAACAATCTTTATTTGTTTTCCGTTATTCCTGAGCTGCAACTTCTTGAAGGCAGAATCTTCACTCAGTTACCTTTGCTGTCCCTATACAACACAAGACAGTGTCTTGCACACACTATCTCAATAGAGGTCTTTTGAGTGTATGTGTGTTGGAAACCCTTCGATGGCTTAGAAAAACCCAGATTCCTTGCCCTGGCCTACAAAGCCTTACATGATCTGGTCAACTCCTCTCATTCATTTGGTGCCATCTTCTCTTTATTCACTCAATCAGTAGCCACACCAGCCTTTTTTCTGTTCCTGAAACACTCTGAGCTCATCCCCATCTTAGGGCTTCTGCATTAGCAAAACCCTCCACTTGGAATGCTCTCCTCCCCACCTCCTCGTTGGCTGGCTCCTTCCTGTGCAATCTAAACACAGAGGTCTCCTAAAAGTGGCTTTCCTTGACCATTCAATTTTATTTATTTCTTATAATTGTTTTTATGGGGGTATAATTGATGCTTTAGTTCTCAGGTGTACAACACAGTGATGCAACAATTCTATGTAATATGCAATAATCACAAGTGTGGCTACTGTCTGTCCCCATACATTGCAATTATGATGTCACTGACTATATTCCCTGGGCTGTGCTTTTTAACCCTGTGACTTAGTCATTCCTTGACTGGAAGCCTGCATCTCCCACTGCCCACCCATTTTGCTCAACCTCAATTTGTTCTCTTCAATAAATGGTAGTAGGAAAACTGAATAGCTACATGCAAAAGAATGAAGCTGGACCACTTTCTTACAACATACACAAAAATAAACTCAAAATGGATTAAAGACCTAAATGTAAGACCTGAAACCATAAAAACTCCTAGAAAAAAACACAGGCAGTAATCTTTTTAACATTGGCCTTATAAACATTTTCCTAAATATGTCTCCTCAGGGAAGGGAAACAAAAGGAAAATTACACTACTGGGACTACATTAAAAGAAAAAGCTTTTGCACAGTGAAAGAAGCCATTAATAGAATGAAAAGGCAACCTAATGAATGGGGAAGATATTTATAAATGATATATCCGAGATGGATATATCTATCCATTTAATATCTAAAATATATAAAGAACTTTTACAACTCAACACCAAAAAACACCTACATAATCCAATTAAAAAAGGGCAGAGGACCTGAATAGACATTTTTCCAAAGAAGACATACCGATGAAATACAGACATATGAAAAGATGCTCAACATCACTCATCATCAGGGAAATAGAAATCAAAACTACAGCGAGATACCACCTTACATGTGTCAGAATGGCTAGTATCAAAAAGACAAGATGGAGTTGCCTGGGTAGCTCTGTCGGTTAAGCGTCAGACTCTTTGATTTTGGCTCACATCATGATCTCATGGTTCGTGAGTTCGAGCTCCATGGTGGGCTCTGTACTGACAGTGCAGAGCATGCTTGGGACTCTCTCTCTCTCTCTGCCCCTCCCTGCTCATTTCTTTCCCTGTCTCCCTCTCACTCTTTTTCTTTCTCTCTCAAAAATAAATAAATAAACTTTAAAAAAAAAAGGCAAATTATAACAAGTGGTGACAAGGATGTGGAGAAAAAGATATCCTCATTCACTGTTGATGGGAATGTAAATTGGTGCAACCACTGTGGAAAATACTATGGAGGTTCCTCAAAAAATGAGAGTTATCATATGATCCAGGAATTCCTCTACTGGGTATTTACTCAAAGAAAACAAAAAAGCACTAATTTGGAAAAGTATATGCACATCTATGTTCACTGCAGCATTATTTACGATAGCCAAGATATGGAAGTAACCCAAGAGTCGATCAACAGATAAATAGATAAGGAAGATACATATGGAGTATGAAACATTACTCAGCCATAAAAAATGAGATCTTGGGACAATATGGATGGACATAGAGGATATTATGTTAAGTGAAATAAGACTGACCATCCATTTTAAATACTTCAAGTAACCCTTGAGCACATCACCCTCTTGACTTTTTGCCAGCATTTATCCCTATTTGATTTTTCTTTGTTTATGAGAACAAGAATCTAATTTGTCTCAATCAATCACCATTTATCCCCAGGGCCGAGACTGAGGTGTTCCATTAATACTTACTAAATGAACAAAATGAATTTTAAGTACAGAAATCATAAAAATAAATATGCTTGCCAGTACAAACTTTAGATATACTCTAATCTTTATTGTAAGATGTAATAATACCAGAATGCAAAACATTTTCTTCCCAAATTGTAATGTTTTATATTTATTAAAAAGTACCACCTGCTTTACAATTACATTTATTCTATAAATATTTCAAAAATATTTTCTCCATCAGTCAGATGTTTATTATGCTTAATTCCCTGAGGGTGTGTGCAATACACATCACCCCAGTACCATAATGGAGATCCAGCCAGATAGTCAACACTTCTAATCAGAAGCTGTGGCAAAGCTACACTGTAACGAGAGCTTATTTCAGCTCCAGACCTAGGAGTACCGGATGGCAACCAAAAAGCAACAAGCAAAAATGCCCTTCATCAAGAGGACTCAGGATATAAACACTGAATTCTAACTCCTAATTCTAAACTATCAGGATTACAGTGGGTTTCAAGAATCACCAAACAATATTTTTGAAGGGGCTTTTAGAGATTCCCTTATTTTACCAGTGAGGAAACAGAGATACAGAGACAGAAGAGGTCTGGAAGAGACCCAGCTATGACCTGACATGCCCACAGCCAGGAGCGCTTAATTCTTCCTAGAATATAGTGAGACTTTTCTGTAAAACAATCTAAAGGACTATGTTCCCATTCACAGTGAGCAATCAACATTCAACTTTGAGAACTATTAGTGTAGAAGCAATCTTGTTTACATACAAAATTTGAACATTAAGTGTATACTATTCAGGAAACATGTAGGCCAGAGATTGGCAAACTTCTTCTGCAAGGGCCAAATAGTAAATATTTGAGACTTTGTAAGCCATGAGGTCTCTGTCTCAACTACACAACTCTGTCCCTGTGGTGCAGAAGTGGCTAGAGATAGTACATACATGAGTGTGGCTGTGTTCCGATAAAACTTTAATTTTGAAAACAGGGATCGGGCCATGTTTGGCCTGTGGGCCAGGTTGCTGACTCCTGATGTACAGGATAATCCTGGGTCACCATCATTAAATACAAAATTAATTTCTTTGTAGTAGCAGTAAATGGCTCATTTTTTAAAACCTTATAGAGATCACAGAGAATCAGAACATATGGACTTATAGCTGGTTGTAGAATAATGGTCAAGAGAGTGAGAACATGAATCCAATCTGCCACTTAATGCTGTACGACTTGGGTTAAGTCTTTAACTGCTCTGGGCTTTTGTTTCCAGGCTAGAAATGAGGATAATATCTTATACCCTTAAAACTAGATTCAAGTAACAGCTGCAGATGCTCTGGACAAATAGAAGTTATTGTTTACCATTGTCTCCCTCTTGTGTTTAGACAATCTCTGGCCAGGACTGGGGTGAGAGATTTGAACTCCTCAATGTCCCCTAACAACCAGCCCCAGTTGGTCTAAGTTAGTCCTGTCATCTTCGGTGCAGTTAGAGGCTCAAGCCAGTCACCTGGGATGCATCCCAGAACCCTCTCCCCTTGCTGAACTCTGACATCAGTTAACAAAACCTGTTCGTTCTGCTGCCTAGATCTCTCTTTCCTTTCATTTCATTCCTACGGCCACGGCCCTGCATGTTGCTTGCTTTATGACAGTAGTGCCCTACTGCGCGCCCCTACGGCAGTCTCAGCACCTTGCTGTCCACTCTCACATTTTGGCCAGACTGACCTTTTTCAAACAGAAACCCCTCACCCTCCAAACCTATTCTCAGGATATTTTTCCAGCTCCTCTGGCTTGAAGTATAAAATCTGACCTCCTTTACATGGCGTACGGTGCCCTAAAGACTGACTGACTCTACCTCCTTGACCAATCCTCCTTTTGCTCATCCCAACTACACTCTATGCTCCCCCTGGAATGAACCACATGTGGTTTCCCAGACAGTCTCTATGCCTTCTTGTCTCTGAGCCTCAGCACATGATGTTCCTATTGTCTGAAGTCCTCTTTCCCAGTTACCAGCATGGGCTGCTTCCTTATTTTCTTTGCACTTCTGCTCACAAGTCGCCCTCTCAGAGAGGCCTTCCCTGACCCCCCTCTCCCCAGTCTCTGTGCCCTTTCTCATTTGCTCTTCATAACATTTCTACCGCTGATAGAATGGACTTTTTTTTTTTTTTTCATCTGTTCAGTGAAACACACTCTCTGAGAAAGCAGGACCTTTGTTCTCTTATTTCTTAATCCCCAGGTCCCATAAGTGGCTGGTGTGTGGTAAGCACTCAACCAAGAGTTGTTGAATAAACACATTTTGGTGAATGTTCCCGCTGCCTGGAATGCCCTCCCCTAACTCATCAGACCCAAACGCCCTCCCCAAGCTCTTGTTTAGACATCAAGCAGCTTAAAGACAACCACTTCTCTGCAGCCCTCCTTGGCCCTCCCAGAGAAGCTCAGATGCACCATCTCAAAGCTCTCCATGTACTGTGCACACATCTCCACTGCAGCTCTCATCTTACAGACTGGACCATCGCCTGCCTGCCTCTCAGGCACAACCTGAACTGCAAGTTCCCTGAGGACAGGACTGTGTCTCTTCACTCTTACATCCCCAGTGGGTCCAGAGTAGGTGTTCAAGAAAGGTTTACTATATGAATACATCAAGTTTAAAAAGAGCTTTTCTCTGCACAGATACAACTGATCCATAAAGGGACCTGGACTTCACTAACTCATTAGTTAGAGCCTGGCCCTAAACTGACTCAGCTTGCTAACACTCATTCTAACAGGGACAAAGGCACAAAAACAAGAAGAGTTCTTTCTGAAATGAAAACTTACCCATAATCTTCTAAAGCACATCCCAGCATAAGGAAAGTCAGCCCAATAGCCCCACTGAAGGATAATGCCACAAGAGCTGTGAAAAATAAAACTTAGTGTTAAAAGGTCTCAATCAGCGGTTGCCAGGGAGTGGGGGAGGAGGGGAGGAATGGGGAAGTGCCTACTAATGCGTATGGAGTTTCTTCTGGGGGTGGTGAAATGTTCTGAAATTAAATGGTAGTAATGGTTGCACAACCTTGTGAATATACTAAAAACCACAGAATGTTATGTTTTAAAAAGGTTAATTTTATGGTATGTGAGTTACATCTCAAACAAAAACATTCAATTAAAGAAGTAAAAGGTTCCCAATTTACGCAAATGTAGTGATTTATTTCATTAGTTGATGTCACATTTGACTAGCAAAGGCCTGCCTATGTCCACCACTTTAAAATCACTCAGTGAGAAAGGTCTCAAGCACTCTCCACCCCCTATCTAATATATAAGTTCCCTCTATTTGTCACAAGAAGCCAGCCAGCTTGTTGTACAACTCTAGTGAAGAGAACTCACTACTGCCTGAGGCAGATCATTTCCTTCTGATAGTATCTAAACGCTGAAAATCCTTTCTCTACATTATATCCAAAACTGCTTCACTGTAATATATATATGCCCTTTGACCATTCTGTCTCCCCCCACCTCAGTACGTCAAGTATTTGAAGACCACTTTTATGTTTTCATAGAAAATGACTCCCAAGTAGTATCCACTGAATAAAATATTTATTCCCTTCATCTGTTCAGCCCTCATCTCTGAGGGGGTAGGAATGTTATTTGTCCTCATCATGCTGCTGAGTGGGAGACAGAGTATGAAGGCTGTTAAAAAAAATCCTGAGCTCTGAGTCACCAACATGCGTTCGAATCTTAACATTGCCACCAACTGGCTGTGTGGCCTTGGAGAGAAACTGAACCTCTCTCAATCAAATTTCTCACCTATAAAATGGGAATAACGGTGCCATGTTATCATGGAGCTTATGAGAAAGAGATAATCTATGTGAAGTGTTTGGCAAAAGAAGGTGTTCTGTAAATACATGTTGACTGATGAAGGTATCTGCTCATTTTAGCAATGTTCTTTGCTAAAGGTATAAATCCAAAGCACAGGACACAATTTAGCCAAATTTTCTTCTGAAAAAAATCCATAATACTCACAATTAGTCATCTACTAAATTAATTAACATTTAGACTGCTGCTTTTTACTTTAAGAGATTTAGGGAGACTTTTACAGGATGATGCAAAGGTGCTTTTTAAAAACCTCTGGAAGTATACAGATGTTAGGGCACTAGACAAGACTGTCCATTTTAATTTTTGCATTTTTCCATGCCGTACATGTCACTTTTTAAAGAAAAATGTACAAAAGTAACTTTTCACATATTGTTTCATTACAGATGGTGTTTTCCTGGGGGGGCACCATCCCCTCCTTGTGTCTGACCATTTGCATCACTCCCTCCTTCAAAGCTAGCAACCAGAGACCTCTCCTTTCTGGTCTGTGACACCCATCTCTCAAGGTTCACAAATGTATCTGCAGTTGATGGATTCTTTTTTCTTTTTTCAGGAATCACCTCCCCTGCCATATTTTACAGTTGGAGCTAACAAGGAATCCAACTTCATTTCTTTCCACTGTACACTTCTGCTGGGACATTGGGTCCAACCCAAAGTTCCCCAGTCTCACGAGGGCCCAGCCACATCTGACACTGCAGCCCAGAACAGGTCGTGGGACCTAGGCCTGCACCTCCAACTCCAAGCTGGACTTCTCTGCCCAGGTAGCCAGCAAGGACCTCAAAGTCAACATGTATGAAACTCAAACATCCCACCCTCTCCTTCCAAACACACTCTTCCCTTTAAGTTCTATCCTGAAAGACCAACCAACACTATCATCACACTCTGTCTTACAGGGAATCACCAAGTCAAGGTGACTCAATCTCCCAGACCACTCAGAACCACTTCTATGCACTGAACCAGTGTGTTCCCTCCCCAAATTCATGTTAAATCCTACTGCTAATGGGATGGTACTTAAAGCTTTGGGAGGTGATTAGGTCATGAAGGTGGTGCCTTCATAGATGAGATAAGTGCCTCCATAAATGAGACTCCAGAGCTCCCTTGCCCTCTCTTCTATGTGAGGACACAGTGAGATGGCTGTCTATGAACCAGGAAGCAGACATTCACCAGACCCTGCATCTGCTGGCACCTGATCTTGGACTTCTCAGCCTCCAGAATTGAGAAACAAATATTTGCTGTGTAAGCCATCCAGTTTCTGGTATTTTTGTTAGAGTGGCCCTAAAGGACTAAGATACCCACCCTCTTCTCTTGAACTCTCTACTACTGCCCTGGTGCATGTCCTCACCATCTCAGGCCTGCCTCCAACTGTGATTCTTCCAATCCATCTTCTACATAGCAGACAGTGATCTTTCAAATACACAGCGCTGGTGTCACACCTTCACAGCCACTTTCACAGCCTACGAGTTGTTCTGGCACAATTCTCTCCACTTGAAAAATCTCTGTCCTTGCTCCATCCTTAGCCAGGTGAAGCCTTACTGATCTTTTTAGATTCAATTCAAGAACTGCCTTTTTCTCCCCAGAGCAGGGTTAAGTAATCTCATCTGTGTTTGTTTCCTGGGGCTGCCATTAACAATGTACTACAAACTGGACCGTTTAGAAACACAGAAGTTTATTTTCTGACAGACCTGGAGGCTTGACGTCTCTAATCAAGGTATTGGTAGGGCCGTGCTTCCTCTGAAGGCTCTAAGGTAGAATCTTTCCTTGCTTCTTCGTGGTGGTTGCTGGCAATCTTTGGCGTTTCTTGGCTTCTATCTGCATCATTCCAGTTTTTGCCTCTGTCTCCATACGGTGTTCTCCCTATGTTTCCACGTGTTAATCTCCCCCCCCCCTTTTTTTTTATAAGGACACTAGTCATTGGATTAGAGCACACTGTAATCCGGTATCATCATCACATTAATGATAACATCTGCCAAAACCCTATTCCCAAATAAGGTCACATTCACAGTTGGTGGAGAGTCGGAACTTGAACATATCTTTTGAGGTATACAATTTAATACACAACACCATCGTTGTGCTCCTCCTGTTATCTAAGGGCACCTTGGACACTTCAGTTCTGTCACCCAAAAATAACTTTTATCTTTTTATCCCAAGTCACAGGCATACAGTGGTCCCTGACTGAAAGGTGAATTATCTGTAAAATGCTTCCTTCCCTTAGTCCTTTTCCATTTCATGGTCTATCTTCCTATCCACTACATCACAATTTCTAACACATTCACACATAAACATTATCATTATTTGATAGTTTCTGGGTGTGACTAAGCACAGCGCACTCTAGTACTGGGATACTTTCCGTCATCCGTTTTCTGCATTGTCTTCAAATGGACTGTGACACGCTGGACACTGTGCAAGTAAATCACATTTACTTAAACTGATGTTGAATATAAAAGTCAGCCAGAAACAATGATACAATGTGTCTACTGCTAATAGCTCACATACTCCGATAAATTTCAGAGTGCACACACATGCGTGCAAATATAGTGTATACATGTTTATAACAGATGTTGATTAACCGGGAAGATCTTTGGGTACAAATTCCAAAGATGGCATTAACTCCAATATAGAAACAAGTTCCACTACTCTATTCAAACATTAGAAATCTAACGGTTTCCCACCAAAATAACAGGAAGCCTTCCAATAGCCTCTCCTATCGTTGGCGTCCCCCATTTCTCTAAAGGCATACAGCTAAGGGAAGCGGCGTTCTTGGTACCCTTTTTTCAACTGCCCCATTCAAAAACACACTGTCTACAAACACTACTTTCTTGTCTGTCCACAGATGAATAAATACTAAAGAAAGTAGCGGTAACAGTCCACCTAATCTATTCTCCACAGTTACGAGAAATACTGCGTTTCTGGGGGCTTTCCGTTGCCTCAAGTCAACTCTGCCCGACGAGGAAAAGTCCTTAGCACCGAGAGAATTAAGAACCCGGGTGCGAAGACTGGAGACAATGGCTGCTCTGGAGGAAATTGGAAACTGCGAAGGGGCAGGAAGAGGGAGGAGAGGCGTCAGGGTGGACATGTCAGGAAATGGAAACCCAGTCCGTTTAAAACTGGGCAGAGATGGGGGTCGGGGGACGCTCCGAGGAACTGAGGAGCCTGGAGGTGATACTCCTGATGTAGCCCGGGCTCCAAGGACACCGCTCCTGGCTCCGCCTGGAGGGTCCGGGAGAGACAGACAGGAGCGTCAAAGACCAGCGAGGTTCCACCCGCATCCCGCGGGGCGAAGGGAGCGCCTCCTCTGCCCCGGGAGAGACAGGGAGAGCGGCTGGCCTGGGGGAGGCCGTTCCCCGCCCACATGCTGAGGGCACAGCTCCAGGCTTAGCCTGGGACGGAGGCGACAACCCACCGCAGGACTAGCGAGCTGGGGGACCACGGATATACCTTTAACGCCCGCCATTTCTCCCGAGCTGGGACCGCAGCTGCTTCCGGCTTCCTGCCACGGCCCGGCTGACGCCCAGACCCGGCCCGGGACAGGACCGCGGGTCCCGGGCCCGCCCCTCCACGCAGAACCCCGCCCCTGCCGGTTCCGATTCTTCCCGCCCCGCCACTCGGAGCACGCCCCTGCGAGTCCCAGCTCCGCCAGCCCCGCCCCGCAGAGCTCCGCCCTGCTTTCCAACACCCGCCCCCAGAGCTCCGCCCCTGCCGGCCCCACCTCGGCCAGGCACGCGACGCAGAGCCCCGCCCCCTGCTTGTCTTATACGTATTAGGCAGAGCCCCGCCCCTGCCGGTACCATCTCGGCCAGCCCTGCCACGCAGAGCCCCGCCCCTGCTGGTCCAGATCCCCTCCACCCAGCCGCAGAGAGCCCCGCCCCTGCTAGTCCACGCGGAGCCGGGCCCTCGCGAGTCCCTGTGGACTCCAAATTCACTCTAACCACGCACAGCCCCGTCACTGCCAGTCCCGATTACACCCAATCTCGCCACTCAGAGCCCTGCCCCTGAGGGTCACGATAGGCCCCTCCCCTCCACTCAGAGCCTGGTCCCTCTAGGTCCCCACCCCACTCCCGCTATGCAGGGCTCCGCCCACGCCACTCAAAGCCCCGCCCAGCTCTTCCATAACTCCGCCTCCAGCCCGCAGAGCTCCGCTCTACCCGGTGATCCTAGTGCTGGATTTGCCCCGGAAATCCACTCTCAGCCTGTAAACCCGGTCTTGCGCCCCGAGCCCTCCTCCCAGCCCCGCAGCCCCGCGCATAATCCCTTCACCTGCCCCACGCTCAGCCTTTCAGTCCGTCGGCTGGGGCCTCGGCTCCTCCGGGACCGCTGGGTCTGCGGGGCAAGACGATCCAGGGCAGCCAACCCGGTACGGGTCCTGCGCAACAGAAGCCCAGCATCGCGGGTCCTGGCTGCAAAGAATCTCCGCCTGAGCGTGGAGACCGAGAAAATGGGGAGAGGGAAGGGGATAAATTACAGTCGGTAGCGAAGGAAAGGACACTCGCTTACTGAGTAGCATTATTCTCTGAACCCCAAGATGCTTCTGTGTGTATGTGGGCGAGTGTGCGCCTGCCTGTCTGCGTTTACGTGGCCGACCTGGGGTGGGAGCACCAGAAAACTGGCCCGGAGGAGACCTCTCCCCGAAGATGCACTTGCCTTGCTTAATACGAACTTTAGCGCTTTTCAAACACTCGTTTTCTCCCTTACATCCTGGTTATTTAGAGACACAAAGACCAATAACCTCTTTTGCTCCTGAAGCTTTCGTGGACCTTTAAATAGTTATGATTCTTACATCTTGGGACCTCCAAGTCTGCATGTAACCAAGGCCAATTTAAACCTCAGAGGGCCATTTTGTATTTATTTTTCCTCAAGGGAATAAAGAATTTTGTCTTGGTGGGGAAGAGACCTTAAAAGCCATTTGATCCGAGTGCTTTATTTTACCTTAATGGAAAGAGGCTCAGAAAAGGTAGGACTTGCCAGCTTTTTGGAGGAGATTGTGTTACAGGCCACTTATGCCTCATTGTAGCTGGGAACTACTGCCCCTTTTCTATTGCTTTTTCTTAATTTTCAGAGACTGAAAGATAAAAAGGGGTTCCCCTGGTTGCTTGAGAAGAACAAATTCTCACCACAACCACCACCTTTCAGGATTCCCATTCAGTTTACTTTTTCAAAAGTGTACAATAAAGTATTGTTGTCTCAACACGTTTACCTGTGAGTTTATTTTTCTAGCCCCTCCCATTTCTCCCCATAGATGGAAGGTAGTTAGTAAAAACATTATGTTGCTAATACCTGGCTCACTGCAGACCCTTGCAGATCCAGAATTACATTGTACTCTACTTTGTAGCCTGCAATCTACTGAAGAGTGCTGAGAATGTCTTTTTCCCTCTTTTGAGTATTCCATCCTTTCTAACAGCAGTGAAAGTATTCATAGGGAACTGTCTATTGGCCATATGCTATACTAAAATGCCAAGCTGCTCTTATGAGGCAGTTCAGACTTTTTTCCTCTTAACTGATCAAGATTTTCAAAAGAGTCAAATCTCCCCATTTCCTTTTCCATTCCCAAGCACCCAGCAAGTGTCTGAAAAGATACTGAAAAGATAGATAAAGGCTTGTGGAGCCTCCCACGTCAGCCTAGATGCCAGTCTCATAGAAGAGAAGTGGTTTTGGAGATAAGTGACATGACTTCAGAGGGACAGTTTGGTTTGAGTGCCTTTAGGCTTAGCAGTAAGAAACTGGAAGAAGGTAAGAAGCAAAAAGATGAGGTGTTTGCTTGGGGATAATATCTGGGACCAGAAAAATGCAGAGACAAGATTTCTTTCTAAATTAGGTTCCTGGACCTAATTTCTAAGTGTGTGTGTGGAGGGAAGCAAGTTTCCCACACAACACCAAGCAATTCTTGGACACCAACAGGGTGTTCTACAATTCAATTCAATTCAGACACTAACCATCTGGAGATAGCATCAAATTCTGCAGATTAAGGGTTTAGTCCTACAAGACCCCGCACCCCTCACTTTCTGACACCAGGCACGAACCCAGGTTGTTGCCTATACTTCTGACCCACACTGGACTCGAGACACCAGGTGTAAGTCCAAGTTCTTATAATAAACCAGTGATCTAGTAAGCAAAATGTTTCTTTGAGTTTTGTGAGCTGATCTAGCAAATTAATCAAACATGAGGAGGAGGTCCTGGGCCAGTCCATCAGAAGTACAGGTAGTAACTTGGATTACCAAATGGGAGAGAGGGATAGGGCAAGGTGTGGGGAGAGGCCACTGAGCTTCCAAGCCCTCTCTAGGTGTGTCCCTCTGCCCACATCTCCAGATGTTCACCAATGGGAAACTCTGAACCCTGGCCTTTTGGGTTTTCATGGAGCCTTCATTACATAGGCACAATGGGTTAAATCATTGGCCATTGGTGATTGAGTCAACCTCTGGTCCCTCTCTCCTCCCCAGAGGTCATGGGGTAGGACTGAAAGTACCAACCCTCTAAAAATGTGGTTAGCTCCATCGGCAACCAGCCCTGATTCTTAGGCGCTTTCCAAACCTAATGAAAGAAATCTTTATCACTCTCTACATTTAGGTAAGGAAGTTCTTTTTTTTTTTTTAATATATATTTTTTTAATGTTTTATTTATTGCTAGGAGAGACAGAGAGAGACAGCGTGAGCAGGGGAGGGTCAGAGAGAGAGGGAGTCACAGACTGAAACAGGCTCCAGGCTCTGAGCTGGCAGTCAGCACAGAGCCCGACGCGGGGCTCGAACCCACGAACCGCGAGATCATGACCCAAGCGAAAGTCGGACGCTTAACCGACTAAGCCACCCAGGCGCCCCTAGGTAAGGAAGTTCTAAGGGTTCGGGGAGCTATAAGCCAGGAACTGTGGATGAAGACCAAATTTTATATATATATAATTATACATTTATATGTATAAATATACATATAATAAATTACATATAAAAATAAATATATGTAGTTATGTATTATATATATAATATTTGACCAAATATTTTGGTCATCTCAATAACCATATATACTTCTTATAAATCACAACATCACAGTTGCCAACATGGTTCCTGCCCATACCATCTGTCTATTCCAGTTTACTAACCACTCTGAAGAGAAAGCATCTTTCCAGAGGCTCTAAACGTCTCCTGAGAAAATCTGTTTTCCTTCTGACAGATGTTGCACTGAAAAATTGTTCTTCCACTTACCCATTCCATGTTTCCTCAAGAATAAGAGTCACCAAACAAGAAAAACCTTAGAAGCTGAAACCTACCCGATTCAGATGTATAAGATCCATGTCCTCTGCCATGCTGCCTAGGACTTCAGCGAACTACTTTAAATCGTTATATTCTCTCTTTACATTCAATTCTCTCACACTATGAGCTAGGTTATATTATCTCCATTTTACAGATGGGGAAACTGAGGTTCAAGTAGTAACTAGTGAGTAGAGAAGCTGGGATAAAACTCAAAACCATTCAACTCTAAAGTCAGTGCTTGTACTACTGCTCCATAGGAATCTGCTGTAATAATTAGAAAAACAGCAAACTCTTATGATTAACAGGGAAATCAAATCCATTTGTTAATTTTTATTTTCCCTTACATTTCTATTAGTATCTTGCATACAATTTACACAAAATATTGGTTGAACTAACAGGTAAGTTCACCATCCATAGTGCCATCCCTCCCTAGCCTACAGAAAACATCTAGCCTCAAACCCCAGCTCTGGGTAAATGTCTCCATGCTTCCATTTCCTGAGGTGGGATTTGCAAAGCCTGCCTCCCAGAGTTTTTTGAGAATTAAATGAGAAAGCAAATATAGCTAAAAGCACCTACAGCAGTGCCTGCCAGATAGATGCAGTGGCATTATATCCGCACTGGGATAGGTTCTCAAATCAGTGCTTAAGTTAAATCCAAGGGTGATGCTACTATTGAAATTAGTCAATGTTAGTTTCCCTTCCTAACTCTCAACCACTACTTCCCTTTTTCACGCAGCCATTTCCTTTAAAAACGTACGATTCAAATTGCTGCCATTTTAGGAAGACAGAACTCTATCATTCTAAGAATATAGAAATAAGGGCCAAGGCACAAGATTCTTTTGATGCTTTTTTTCTATCTGTGTTTCTCCCTACAACCAACCAGAGGTTTCGCTGTAATTCCAGCGCCAATCCTGATCTGTAATGACATAGTTTGTTCTATAGATCAGTAACAATAACTACTATTTAATTAGTACTCACTTGATAGAAGTTTATATACAGTTTCTAATGCCTTCATTGCAGGGCTGCTATCAATATCTCTATTATACAGGTCATAAGATTAAGTCTTAGTTTAAGAAAGTTATTGAATATGACAGTCCTAAAGTAAAAAAAAACAAAAACAAAAACAGGATTTAAATGTAGTTTTCTGGTCTCAAACCAATATGGTACCATTATGCCAAACCAAGGTTTATCTTTAGAACAAACAAAACCTATTTCCTTGACTTAAATTTCCCCACAGGTGTTTCCAGTAGGGAAACTGTCCTGTTGCTGTGATAAAGGTTTCTGGAATTGTGTTCAGTCCTTACACAACGGTGTCTCATCAGTGGCATTAGGATCCGACTTGAACATTCCTCCA